TTGTGATTGGCCGAATACCTCAAGCGTGTGACGGAAATGTTACGCCCCTTACCATATTGTTATGCCCTGTCAGGCCGGAGCGATGAGACAAAAACATTATAACCCATTATAAACGAGGCATTTGTTGCATCCAGTGGGGACATAATTACGGATTATAATGACTTATACTGTCTTTTTACGCATTGCGTTGCATCGCGCTGCATCGCGCCACGTAAACATAAAACCATGTAAAAAAACGTACTTACAATCTGTGAGTCAGAACAGCCAGCATTGTAGTCTACTCTACCAGGATCAGGAAACAGTCCTCCATAAAATGTGCTGCGCACATCTGAATATTTGGGTTGAACTGTTCTGGAACAGTGTTGTAAATACAACTTAACCATTGATTTCTAGTCGTGTCCTCTTTTGTAAGACCGAACAAAGTAGTTTCGCTTTCACAACGAAACACAAGGCGGGCTAGAGTGAGCGGAGGCCGGAGGGCTAGAGTAAGCGGTGGCAGGCGGGCTTGAAAACGGTGCGGCCGGCGGATTCGATGAAGGAGCGTCCGGCGGGCTTGCGGCAACCACATGTGACGACCCCGGGCTGGACTCCGCTTTGTCCACGGTGAAAGCCGATCTGGCGATCCATAGCACGAAGTTGATGTAGTCCCTCAGCGACCAGCAGGGATCAGCTCCAGGCATGACGAAGCGGATATCGTCCTCTTTTGGAAGGCCAAACAAAGTAGTTTCGCTTTCACAACAAAACACACAGCGCCTTCATGACATGGCGGCAGCGGCAACAATACTACAGCGAGAATAAAAGTTATGCCTTCTTTCTTTGTGTGAACATTTAGTTAGGCAGTTATGCAAATCTTTCCACATCCTGATGTAGACATGTGGGGGCGTGTTAGAACCAGCCGTTTTAGGCAGGCGTGGTTGACTCATAACTTTTATAAAGAATATCTCTTTGGATTTGAGACTTTAGTCTTTGCAACTTTACAGATCTTCTTTATGCATCAAGAGCTTGTAACACTTAAAAGAGAAAGGAAAAATTGAAATCGCATCATATGACCCCAAGTAGCCCAATTCCGCGGGAAAACCGCAGACTTGGCAACACTGAACTCTGCATTACCTCAGCGGGTCACGTGACTATACGGCGTTTTGCTATTGGTCAGCACCGTACCAGGGAAGTTGTTTGTGTCAAAAAAGCAGGAAGCGCACATTTTAGGGGCGGACATTAGGTTTTATTAACTGGATTTCTTTGGAATATCTAACTGAAAGTCATTTGTCTTTGTCTAGCAGGAAATAATCTCTCATGTCTCTTTAATTTTTCTCGAAAACAATATCTGTAAGTATAACCATGTCTTTTAAAATTAATTTTAGATTTCCGTCTAAGTTAACTGATCAGAAGTCAGTTAATAATCACCACTAACTTACTGATTAACCACACTTTAAATGTAAGCGTGTCTAAAAATTAGGTGTGTCGAATACATTTTCTTCTTGCTAGGCGTCCTAGTAGTTTCTCTGCTGAACTAATATAATTATTTTTTTTTGGGTGTGTGCGCTTGCTGGCATGAATTATTCACAACATTTTATATTTGTACAGTGAGAGACAGACCGTTTTTCTTCGTTATTCGTTGTTTTTATTTTTCTTCTTTTCTACACGTACTTTAAAACTGTATATCCACATCAGTATTTATGTTAATAAAGTCTTAGTTTTGGTTTTAGAACACTTGTTAAACAGGTATGCTAGTCATCATTATCTTTTGAACTGTTATCGGTTGTATGTGATACGTTTGATAAAGCCTGGTATGCACTACTAGTTTAAAATGTTTGGACACACTTGACTGCATTTGTTCATTGGTTTGAAGGCAGTTGTTAGGCACTATGCAGTGTAGAATTTGTAGCCATGACTGTTATTTACTATACAGCAGGTCCCGAAGTAATAAAAATATCAAGGACAAAATATATTATTTTAAAAACGGTAGCTTATTGAACAAATTCATCCTTGTGATATCCTTCCGCTGGATGATATAGTGCCGTGCTTAACTGAATGTTGCGCAGCAGAACGTGTTCAGAGCTTCTACTCAGCTGTTACTATTTAAGTGTAATAATTAGTAATAGTTATTTATTAACACATTTATTATTATTATTAAAACTTTAGTTTAAATTAACATCCTTCCGCTATAAAATATAGTTCATGGCACAACTGAACATTGCTATGCAACTGAATTAGCGATCAGCCCTGCGTGCGTAGTGATATGATTCATTTTTAGTGGATTTTATGTGCTAACCAATCAGCAACTACTATAGCGTTTACAAATCAAGGAGCAGGTTGTAAGTTCATTTCCACATGGACCATGGGTAGATGTATGAGTTTTGTTGACTTGTTGTTTTTTTTTTGCATTACAGAATTCTCCCATCCTAAAGGCCTGTTTCACACCAAGAATGTTAACTATAAATATAACAATATTAGCGTCCACATCAATGCACAATAAAGTTGTTTTTTTGCAAGAACATGCTGCAGTTATGTCGACTTCCCCAAATCGTTCCACTTCCACAAATCGTTCTGAAAGTGGTCCAGTGATGTAGTTTCTGTTGTTATCGTTACAGTTGTGGTGTGGACTTCTCTATTCTCATAGAATTATAGAATATTAGAACTTGGTGTGGAACGGCCTCAAGTCTTGCAATGTTCTGAATAATTCTAAAAGAAATAATCATGGTTACTAAACCAATAAGTGTTCAGAATTAGGGTTTTCTGTAAAATGGTCCCTGGTTTAGTAATTAAAGTGCTTAATTTGTATGCGCTCTCCCACATAGTTCATTCAATGCATCCTGCCCTGTTGCACTAAGTAACTGTCAATCAAGTGCAGTGTTCCTCAGAAGAGCACCGCAGCTTATGTGGAGATGGAGGAACGCGCTCGGAGCTGCCTGCTGCGCTCCAAAGACACTCTAGAGCAGGACATTAAAGCCTCCTACTTGATGGACCACATGGTCAGCGACGACATCTTGACGAATGATGAAGAAGCAAGGGTGCTTGGCAAGGTCTGTTGTGGTGTCCAACATGCTGCTTTTTACATCTATAAAAAGTGAATGTAAGTCAAGTTTTCCTTTTTCCTGCTTCTCCAGCCTACTAGAAGAGAGCAGGCCACAGCCCTGCTAGAGGTGCTATTGAGGAAAGACAACAGGGCCTACATCTCCTTCTACAATGCGCTGGTCAGGGAGAGTTATGGAGATCTGGCCAACCTCCTCCATAGTGACTTGCCTCTCCTCAGCCCTGAGGGAGAGCGAAGCTTTGCTGATGGAGTGTCTCCCTCTGGTAACCACTTTAGCCACTTGGACATGTATGAACTTGTTTTTGCTTAGTATGAGATGCTGGAGGATTTGTGTGCTTTTATTCTAGTCCAGGCAATTCTGAGGGAAGGTGGGGTGCCTCAGAGACCTGTGGTGTTTGTGAGCCGACCCACTCTGCTCAACCTGGTCCGGGAGAAGCTGTACTGGCTGAAGAATACACCAGGCTGGGTCACTGTGTTTGGCATGGCGGGCTCAGGGAAGTCTGTGATGGCTGCCGAGGCTGTTCGAGACCATGCCCTTATTAAGGGTAATGACTTAACAGTGTTTTAGGTTTTTGTGATTTTTATTAAATTTTTAAATGCACACCTTTCTAATATTTTATTTGGGTGTTTCTTGAGATTTATGGATGTATGTGTTTATTTATTCTCTTAGGTTTTAGTGTTTTTGTTTTAGCATATTTTTAATTTGTATTTATTAGCTTTTTTTGTGCTTTATTTTATTGTAATTATATAATAATATTCTTAAAGTGATAGTGGACAAAGTAATTCAATTAAAAAAACATTTTTTAAGGTGTGAAAGTATGTTTTAAGAGTATTTCTAATAGACCACAGGGCTAAAAGTGCTCATATAACATTTTATTTTTCTCTCTGTTGCTCAGAGTGTTTTCCAGGTGGCGTTCACTGGCTTTCTGTCGGCCAATGTGAGCGGGCAGACCTGTTGGTAAGGATACAGTCTTTATGTTTCCGTTTGGAGCAGGGTCAAAGTTCAGATGCCAGTCTGCGGCCACCCTGCTCCGTGGAGGAGGCCAAAGAGCGTCTACGGTTTCTAATGCACCGCAGGTTCCCCAGGTGAGTGCAGGAAAGATATGATTTCAGTGCACTTTTACACAGAACATGTACGTCCGTTGATAATCAGACCCTTTCTCCTTTGATTTTCTTCTATCAGATCCCTGCTGATTCTGGACGATGTGTGGGACAGCTTTGCTCTCAGGTCCTTTGATATCCAGTGCAGAGTTCTTCTGACCACGCGTAATCGAAGTCTGGCCGACTCTGTGAGCGGTGAGAAGTTAATTTTAGTGCATCCAGTTTGCATTTCACAGATGGATTCTGGACCAACTACACAGAGTGGTTATTCCTAAATAAAAGTCTAGGTTAATCCATGACTAGGTTGGTCTTGTGCCTGCTTGCGTATGAAATTTGAATTAAATCCAAGGCAACTTCTGAACGAAATGAAATTACGTAAAACTCTGATAACCCCGAGAGCAGCTGTTCTTGGAGATAAGCTATTATCAGCTGAGGTTATGAGAGAAATATTCCTTTGTCTATATTGTTGCGGCTATCTTGCATAATTCATTTAACATACTAATTTCATTCAAAATGAAGGGTTTATACTGTTTGTGTGTGCGCTTCTCTCTGTTTGTGTGTAGGTACAAGGTTTGAAGTGCCCGTTGAGAGCGGTCTAGATGAGGAGAAAGCCCTGGAAATTCTTGCTTTGTATGTCAATGGGAAACCACAGAAACTTCCTGAAGAGGCCCGTAGCATTGTGAGCGAATGTAAAGGTACAAATCACCCTTTTTATGCAAAACTGAAGCAAAAGCTGATCAAACATGACCCAGCCACAAGAACAGCATTTCTCACCCACTTATTGTCAATTAGGGCTGGGTATTGTCCGCTACCTCGCTTTACAATGTCATATTCACTTTATAATCGATATCTTGCTTGTAACTGGTTCTGAAATTATTTTTAAGGTTAATAATTACAAGTTTAATGACTTGGCCTTAAATTCATTTTTATTTTTATTACATACTGTATTTTTATATAAAATGTATTGTATTTTTTTATTTCAATAATTTATTTTCTTTATCTATTGCCTTTGAATAACAATTCAGTAATAGTACTTAATACTATGGTATAATAATGAAGTACCATTAGTGATCTACATTACACCTCTGGCTCTGACCATTGTAATCGTTTCTCGTCCTGTTAGGTTCTCCTCTGGTTGTTTCTCTGATTGGAGCTCTATTGAGGGAGTTCCCTGACCGCTGGAGCTACTACCTGCTACAGCTGCAGAAGAAGCAGTTCAAGCGGATCCGTAAGTCATCGTCCTACGACTATGAAGCTCTGGACCAGGCCATGGACGCCAGTCTGCAGGTTTTGGAGCCAGAACACAGAGATCTGTACAGAGACCTGAGCGTCATGCAGAAAGACATCAACGTGCCTGCTAAGGTCAGACAGAAAATCTGTTGCCAACTACTAAAGTAATGGTAGATGCAGAATCAATGTCATTTATTTTATTCATAATTTAAATTGTACTTACAAGTGTGACACAAGGATGGATATTTTAACTGCTTTTTTTCTGGGTTTTTTTTCTGTTTTTAATCATTTGATTTCTTTCATGCAGGTTCTGTCAGTACTGTGGGGTCTTGAGTTGGAGGAGGTGGAGGACATCCTACAGGAGTTTGTGAATAAATCTCTGCTGTTTCGAGACTGTAACCAGCGACCATACCACTATTACCTTCATGATCTGCAGCTGGACTTTCTCGTTGAACAGAATCGTGATCAAATTGCTGTGAGTTATGTTGCACCTCTTTTTAAGAGAGACCACCAGAGAACAAGGTCTGAATTGTTATTTCCTGTAGGAACTACATAAAAAGATGATCCGTCAATACCAGCAGTTCTACAATGAAAGGCCACCCAGCTCTGGAGATATAGACTGTTTGTATTGGTACCGCTTCCTCCCATACCACATGGCTAAAGCAGGACTGTCTAAGGTAATGTTACAGTATAGCCTACACTAACATTTCCACTCCTCTGGAGAGTATGTAGAATCTTCTAATGATTACTGTTACATCATGAACATTCAGTTCTCTCATTACAGGAGCTTTATTCACTGATGTTTTCTTTGGACTGGGTCAAAGAGAAAGCTCAGATTATGGGATCTGCCCATCTTATCAACGATTATGTAGAATATGGTGAAATACTAGATAAAGAGGTATTTATACTGTTAAAGTTTGATTGTTATTGATGTTCCTCACAACTGCACATCTTAATCAGTTTAGAAGTTACAGACCAAATAACTAAAAATATTTACATGAAATCGGCACAGAATACAGTTTGTATAAAATGGCCATATTGCCAAATGTCACTATTTTATTGTTGTGCCTCAGTCTGGACACCCATTTGCAATTACATTTTTTTTTTTTACTTTTATATATATATATATATATATATATTAGTTTTAATTGCAAGTCTGATACATTTTAAATTGATTCTAAAAATGTAAAAGAAAAACTTAAAAGAAAAACTTTTGCACTCTAACTCCTCATGCTCATTTTTTTTTAAATGAGCAAAACTGTGTGAAAGCAATAGAACATTTGAATTATTACATGAACATTTTATTGCTAAAAAAACTGTCACGATCTTAGCCGCAATAACACACCACCGCCTGTTCTGTTTAATGATAAATTGTGGTGTTTTCACACAGAATAGTGAGGTGAGATTGCAGTTTCAGGAGTTCCTGTCTTTAAATGGCCATCATTTGGAGCTGAGGCCATTTCCTGACATAGTGCAGTTGGCTCTGTCTCAGCCTGTGTGTTCAGAGGTTTACAGACAGGCCTTGATGCAGGCGCAGAAAAGGGCCAGCAGAGGGCAGCTCTGTCTGGACTGGGTGTATGTATCTCACTGGCTCACACGTTAACTTTCATGTAGTAGATCAGACTGAAAACAGATTGATTTTGATTGAAAGCGTGTTTTGACTCTTTAGGAACAAAAATAATAAGGACAGTTTGTCCAGGCTGGTCATGCATCCTCACCAGGGGTCTGTCTACTATGCTTGCTTTTCCAAAGATGGGAGTAAAATCGCCTCTTGTGGGGCCAACAAGGCGCTGCGGGTAAATATCTATTTGTGTCCTGCTTTTTTCCCTGACATTATGTGCAGTATTATGTGACATCCCAATTATTTTATTTTTTATTTTTTTTGTATTCAATAGGTGTTTAAAACAACCTCTGGAGAGAAACTTCTGGAGCTTCAGGCTCATGACGAAGATGTTCTGTGCTGTTCCTTCTCTCCAGATGACCGTTACATTGCTACCTGCTCCAGTGACAGGAAGGTTAAGGTAAGTGTGTCTGTCTCTTTGCCCACTTTATTTGTGGATCAGTATCTTTCTGGTAGTAGTTTGTTCCAGAATTTTTTTTAATATTCATCTTCATGCTGTTACAAAACATGTATACTGTTTCTTTATCTTTTTGTTGCTTGACAGATATGATCACACTATACTGTCATTATGTGGGAAAGTTCTGTGTGAACATTGTTCAAACATCAGTCGTGAGAATGAGAAGTTTGTTTTGTGTTGTAGTTGTGGAGTGTTGAGCGGGGTACTCTTATCAGAGAGTTTGGGGAGGAACATGAGGAACAGATAAACCACTGCCAGTTCACCAACACAGGCCGACGTGTCCTGCTGGCCACCTGCTCAAACGACAAATTCACCAACACTAAAGTGAGATGGTTTTAAGAGGTTTTTTTTTTCTTTTTGAAATTTTAATTTTTAGTAGTTTAGTATTCTGTTTTTAGTTATTGAATTTTTTACCTTTTGTTTTTTTTTTTCTTGGGGAAAAATGTTTTTACTTCTGCAGTTTTAGAATTCTTGTTAGAATTTTTAGTACATTTACATTTAGTCATTTAGCAGGCGCTTTTATCCAAATCGACTTACAAATGAGGACAATAAAAGCAGTCAAACTAACAAAAGAGCAACAATATATAAGTGCAAATGACAAGTCTCGGTTAGCCTAACGCAGTACACGTAGCAAGGTGTATATATATATATTATATATTATACACACACACACACACAAAGAAAAACAAGTAGATAGAATAGAAAAATATTATTTTTATTTTTTTTAAATAAGATAGATAAAGTAGAATTAAAATAGAATAGAAAGTTCTAGAGTTAGAGGGTCAAATAAAGGTAGTAGTTTAGAATTGTTTATATTTGATTTACATTTAGAATTGTTTTTGCTTTTTAGAATTCCTTTTTACATTTTTAGTCATTTAATTCTAGAATTTTTACTCATTTATTACAAAACTTTTTCAATGTGAGACTATTAACTACACTACAATTTATGAATACAAAGTTCTAATGAACTAAGTATGTGTAACATATTACTTTAGAGTCATGATTTGTTCAGTAAGTTACCAAGTTATTTCAATAGCCACTCCAGTGAAGCATTTTCTCAGAATGATTCAGACTGCTAACCAGTGGTCGACCGATATGATTTTTTTTATAACCGATACCAATTATTTGCATGTTTGTGTGCCCGATAACCGATATGCAGAACCGATATTTATTTACTGTTATAAAGTAAATAAATGACTGAGTGAAGTAAGAACATACTTCACTTTGGTTTTTCCTCTTTTCAG